GAGGAGGAGGAGGAGGAAGAAGAAGAAGAAGAAGAAGAAGAAGAAGAAGAAGAAGAAGAAGAAGAAGAAGAAGAAGAAGAAGAAGAAGAAGAAGAAAGTTGGGGAGTTGGCTCAACAGTTAAGGGCATTTGTTGCTCTTCAAGAGGACCTGGGTTCAGTTCTCAACACCCACATGGAGGCTCACAGCTCATGACTGCGGATAACTCCAGTTCACGGACTCCTGTGCCCTCTCCCACCTCTGTAGGCACCAGACATGCATGTGGTGCACATGCATCTATGCAGACAAAACACTAACATACATAAAACAAAATTATTAAAAAAGATTTTTTAAAACATTTAATGAAGAAAGGTAGGGATGCACCTCAGCTGGTAGAGGGCTTGCCTTGCACCCACACCAAGGCTGTGGTGCCCTCCCTGGCACCCACATAAAATCAAGCATGGTAGCATGCACTTGTAATCCCAACAGTGGGGGTAGAAACAGAAAGATCGCAAGTCCCAAGTCATCCTCTGTACACACGGGATTCCAGGCTAGCCTGGACTACCTGGGACCCTCCCTGTATGAGAAATGAAGAAGAGAAGGAGGGGGTGGGGAGAGAGGAAAGAGGAAGGGAGGGAGGAATGTGGGAAGAGGGAAGGGGTTATAGGTCGTAAGTAGAGAGCTAGATGCCATCGAACACGAGCTAGGCACTGGGACCATGCCCAGTTTTGCTTTAAACAAAACAACAATCTTTTTTTTTTTCATTTATTTGTTTTTCAAGACAGGGTTTCTCGGTGTAACTGTCCCTGGCGGTCCTGGAACTCACTCTGTAGACCAGACTGGTCCAGAACTCACAGAGATACACCTGCCTCTGTCTCCCAAGGGCTGGGATTAAAAGTGTGTGCTACCATACCCATCTTAAAATAAAATAAATCTTTAAAAGAAAAAAAAAAGCAAGCAAGCGAACAGTTGCTAATGGCTTCAGAGTGAGTAGCTGAGTCTGACCAGGGGCTATTGTCTTTCCGGTTCTTCCGGGAGGCACTCTGTGGCCTCAGGCAGGCTCTTCCTCCTCTCTTCATTTGGCTCCCTTCCCTATCACCAGGTAGATGGAAGCAGGGAACGACCTGACCCCTGGGCCTGCTTTAAGCTCCTTGTCATTGCTAGCAGCCATCCTATTCTGCTCTCCCCTGACACCACCCAAATCCTGTAGCCTGTTCCCCTGGGAGCAGAAACCCTACTCCCCACCCACCCCTTTCAGCTCTGCGGCTAGGCCGGGAGACACTTGGGAAAGTCATGGGTTTCATTTTGCCACTTGGAAGCTGTTCCAGCCAGGAAGGGAACCCAAGTTGACTTGAAGCCAGACCCTTAATTGGATTGGGTTCCTAGGGAGGCCATTAGCTCTGTCTGCAGCTCTGGAGAGAGGAAGCACTTCCTCCCCCACCCCTTTGCAGCCCTAGACATCTGAATCCTGGATACCCTTCCACCCAAATAAGGTCAGTGTTATGTGTTCAAGGTTCGCGGCTGCGGCTCTCCCTTCCTCCTGCTGGCACATCAGCAGATACTGGTAAGTCTGCGTGGTCTAATTGTGGCTCTTTATTCACACAAGCCGCTGATTTTTGGTTTGATTTTGTTTTATTTGTTTGTTTTCGGTTTTTTGAGACAGGGTTTCTCTGGGTTACCGCTCTGACTGTCCTGGAACTCACTTTGTAGACCAGGCTGGCCTCAAACTCACCAAGATCCACTTCCCTCTGCCTCCCTTGCACTAGGATTAAAAGGCACGTGCCACCGCACCTGGCTAGTCACTGATTTTTATTGAGGGGCTACTACATGTCAAGCTCCAGAGAGCATTGTGGCTCTTGAAAAGACTTAAATAGACAAATCCCCAAATCAAAATGTCCAGGCCAGGAAACAACAGTGAAGGCTCTGAGGGAAATCCCCAGACATGCGGCTCAGCAAGCAAAGGTGCTTTTGGAAGGCCTGAGTTTCAGTTCCTGATACTCACATGGTGGAAGGAGAGAGTCACAGGCATCCTGGTGTTCATGCATGTGAGAACATGAAATCAGTGGGTTGTGAAGAATAAAGAAGAGGGTTTAAAACCACTTTTAGCTGAGTGAGATGGCCAGCGCACACCTTTAATCCCAGCTTTGAGGGGGTGCAGAGGCAGGTGGATCTTTGTGAGTTCGAAGTCAGCCTGGCCCACAGAGTCTCAAAAGAAATCTTGTATTTTTAAGAAATGTTATGTGTATGGTTATTTTGTCTGTACATATGTCTGTGCACCATGTGCAAGCAGTACCCACAGAGGCCAGAAGAGGGCGTCAGATCCCTGGGACTGCAGTTTTATATGGTTGTAAGCTTCCACATGGTGCTAGGAACCAAAACCAGGTCCTCTGGAAGAGTAGCCAGTGATCTTAACCACTGAGCCATCATTCCAGGCCCCAGATGGCTCCTTTTGAAGATCAATACTGTTCATTCATTGTGTAGGTTACAGGATTGAACTCATAACATCAGGTTCACCAGTAAGTACCTTACCTGCATCATCTCGCTGGCTAGAGAAATAATTAGTCTAGAGGACTCTGCCTGGAGGAATGGATTAATCCATCCAGGATTAATAGATTAATGAGTCACCTTGATGGTAACTCTGTTATAAAAGCCAGTTTGAGCTGGGTGTGGTAGTGCAAGCCTGTAATCTTAACACTTAAGAAACAGGACACCCAGGATTGTAAGGAGTTCAAGGCTAGCCTTGGCTATCTGATGAGTTTAAGGCCAGCCTAAGCTACATAGCAACATCTTATCTCAAAACAAAAGTAGGCTTTTGATGTCCACATAGGTGCTATGGTCTGGGCATGAACACACACACACACACGCACACGCACACGCACACGCACGCACACCACTGTAACGGAAGTCTTTAAAATTCTATTGAAGGTTTCTGAAAATGGGTGGGTGGTAACAGGACTGGCTCTCTGGACGAGGACACCCTGTACCACCTATTGCTCATTGGTTGGTCCTCATCTCTACCTGAAGCCCACACTGGCTTCAGCTTCCTCCTCAAGGCTCCCATCTTCACCATCATCACCATCGCCGTTATTATTAGAGCCCTTGCTGTTACTAGAGGATCGTGGAGCACTCTGTGCCTTTTGTGAGCATGCAATGTGCCCTCTGCTGCGAACCTGCCTGTCCTCTAGGCACGACAAGGCCCTCGCCTTGAGTTCTCAGCAGCTGGGACAACTCAGAGGAACCTTGCAAAGACTGATCCAGTCAAACGCTCCAGATGGGAGTGGTTCAGAAGCCCGGTCCCTCCCCGAAGATATATAGACAGTCAGCTGTTACTAGGGGAGCCATGGGCCACACCCACATACACAGAGAGAGACAGAGAGAGTTAACCATTGCTAGGGGAGAGGCTCCTGAAGCCCAGACCCCAGGATTTAGAGATGGTGACCATGGCTGATGGTAGGAGCTCTGGGAGAGTTATCCATTCCTGAGAACGTGAGCGAGAGGTTCCCAAGCCCCTGCCCCTCCTGAGGGTCTGTGGACAGCTGGCTGTGACTGGGGAGAGAAAGAGGCCTTTTCTTCAGTGTGTCGAAGTTCACCTACCTATAAGGAACCCTAGCTGAAATCACTGACACACTAAGCCAGACTCGGGGGTGAATTGTTTCTTTGGTCTGTGGTTGGCGAGAGTAGGCGTTTGTTCATCGGTCTAGGAGGACTTCACACAAGACTGTCTGGTTCCATTTCTCTATCCAGGCTGAGTGTCACATGTCCGGGTCCAGTTCCAGCAAGTATGCCACTTCGCAGAGTAGGAGCACGGGGACTCATGGACTAGTGGTATCCTTGTCAAAGCTGGTCCTCGACAGCCATATTGCTCCCATCACAGGGGGAGGTGGAGACTTAATGGGAATGCATTACATACCAGAGTACATCAGCTGGTAAGTGGAGCGGGTGGTATTCAAACTCAAGTCTGCTCTGACTTCAGGTGGCACATTTCACTGCCCCCCCTTCTCCCTCCCACCCCACCCCCCTCACCATCAGCTATCACGTGGGCAAACAGGGTGGCCAGGAGTCTCCCAGATGCCTGCCTTACCAGTTATCCTTTCAACTCAGAGTCTAAACCTGACCTTCAACATAGAGAAATGGTCCTCACCGCAGAGCTGGTGGCCCTGGCTCAGATGAAGTAAAGTGACCATTTCCCATTCTGAAAGGTGCAGGGACAGCCAGCCAGCGTTGCCCTGGGAGAGTCCCCGGGACAGTCAACTTCTCAGCTGCTTCTAAGCAACACCAGAGCCGAGTAGGCCAGCCCTTCCTCCTCAGAAAGTTTGGTTTGACTGAGGACCTTCTTCCTCTCCTTGGTGGCTCAGGGCTCTTTGGTAGTTCACGGTTCATTTGCCGGCTTATTTATTCTTATTTATTTGGTCCTTTGAAACTTGAACAATCGGCTCCTCACATCGCAGCTTTGCAAGCAGAAGAGGCATGGAGCCATTTGAAACTCAACGACAAATGTATCCTTTGACAAGGGCCCTTCACTTCCTAAGAAATAAAGGCGCTTTCCAGTGCCAAGGTGCGCGCTGGGATGCCAGCAGCCGGCAGAGCCCCTGCAAAGCACAAACCAGAAGCGGCTGTGCAGGTCTGATGTTATCTCAGCTGCATCCCATTCCCCCGACAGCCCCAGCCTCCCTTTCTTGCTGGCAGTTTGTGTGATACTTGGGGAGCTGGGTTGGGCTGTTTGGTTTGCTTCCTGTGTGAGGCGTCTGCACTCCTGGAGCCTAGCTTCCTATTGAAAGTTCGTATTTGGAGCCCGCCTGCCTGTCTTCCTGCGGAACGCCGCCGTGTACTGCTGCCTCTGCCCAGCCTGGTCCCACAAAGCGCCAGGAACAGCCTGTGGCAGAAGGACAAGCCCCTTGTCTCAGTTGATCTCTCCCAGACACCGTCAGGGTCCTGACAAACGAACCCCCTTGCTCTAATCTGCTGTTGCCATCTGTTTCTGGCCTCTGTGTTTGGGGGCGTGGTCCTGGAAGGATTCCTTTCTTCTGGTGAGCCAGCCCATGCCCTCTGACTGCTGGGACCACTCCTGGAACGGAGGAGAGTATGTCCCAGCACCACAGCCCTGGGTGTTGCTAACAGGGATGGCTTCTCACAGCAGTTCCTGCTGATCAGAAGTGACCCCCCAAGATCCAGTAGGAAGGGGTTATTTATGTGACCTGGAAGTTTCCCTGCAGACTGTCGCTTCCTTCCAAGAGGGAAAATTCTACCTTATGGAGTGGAAAAGCCTAAGCAGGTGACCAAATCTAACATCAGCCTCTCCGGGCCACAGACACCCAGCACTTCTGGAAATGACTGAGGCACCCAGGGTCATACTCTTGCAACATTCCAGCCCAGAGGGAGGTCAGAGCCCAGCGTGAGCCGGAGAAGAACGACACACCCCGCTGAAGGAATGGTCTGTCAGATAACTCATCTGTGTCTTCTAAAGTTCCAGAGTTGCTGATGTAAGCTAAAGGAAAGTCGCCTCCTGTCTGGTGGTGTGCAGCTGTGATCCCAGCCCTCAGAAAGGCCATGAATTCAAGGCCAGCCTGGGCTACACAGTCAACCTGTCTCAAACACAAACCAATAAACAAACGACAAGTCCAACTAGCGAAACGAGTGGGGAGAGAGCAATAATAGCTGTTTAGCTAAAGCAGAGTAAAGATCCGGGTGTGGTGGCTCATACCTGTAATCCCAGCAATTGGGAGACTGAAGCAGGGGGATTGCTGGGTGCTCGAGGCTGCCTCAGACTGCACAGTGAGTGGCTACTGAGATCTGGTAGCAGGGGTGATGAGGGAAAAGGCTAGTGTGGTGACGTACAGTGGGGCAGAGCCCGGGGAATTGGTAAGTTCAATGCCTGGGCTTCCAAATGAGATGTGTGGCAGGATGGCGGCAGGCCAGTGATGTGTAGGATGTAAAGGAATTGATGGGAAAGACAGAGGAGGATGGAGGAGAAAGTTCCCTACCTTCAACCCCATCTCTGGGAGGAGGGTGGAAGTCTTTTAGCAACTGGGCTTGGTTGTTTAGTCTTATCTCACAGGCCACTTGTCTGGGTCTGTATCAGAGGGGACAGGCGGGCTGTGTTGTTAGGCAGTAAAATTTAAAGCTGAACTTATTTGTCCTTCTGGGCTATTTAGGGCCAAGTCCTGTGGGTCACTGGGAGTTAGGCTCTGCCTGTTTATAAAAGATGTGCCAAGTCACAGGGGCAGGATCTGAATGTTAAAATTCGGGGATTTTTGTCTTATTTAATTGTGAACGTTTTGTCTCTAAATCCTAGCTCTAAAAATAAAAGTACTGGCTTAATGGTAAGTTTCCCAAATCTGACTCCCATCTGACTCCCAAAAGTTGCCCTCTGACATGTGTGTATGTGAGAGTGTGCATGAGTGAGTGTATGTGAGTGTGTGTGTGTGTGAGAGAGAGAGAGTGTGTGTGAGAAAGTATGCATGTGAGAGTGTGTGTGTGAGTGAGTGGGTGTGTGTGAATGTGAGTGTGTGTGGGTATGTGTGAGTACGTGTGTGAGTGTGTGTGAGAGTGAGTGTGTATGTGGGGGTGTCTGTGATATCAATGAGACATTAATATTACAGTCTGGGGATGTAGCTCACTTGGTAGAGTGCTTGCCTAGCATGCATGAAGTCCTGGGTTCCATCCCCAGTACCACATAAACCATGCACGGTGGCATAATTATACTCTCAGCAGCTGGGGAACGGAAGCAGGAACAGGAGCTTCAGGTACACGGCAAGTTCAAGGCCTGCAGATGGAGACAGCAGGAGGATCAGGAAATTCAAGGTCTTTCATGCTCGGCCTGGGACGTGTGACATCTTTCTCAAAACAAGCAAAACAGCAAGATTGGGGAAGAGGAGCAGAGGCAGGGGCAGGGTGTGATGGAACCCTGACTTCTTCTGGCCCTGATACAGCTGTTACACTCGGGAACTCACAAGCAGCTGTGAATCCTTAAACCACATTGGGAACATTTGGGAAGAATGAGAGACTCTTCCCCCGCCCCTCTCTGAGGATCTCTAGGCAATTCACAGTTGCTGGAGGAGAGAGACATTGTCTTCAGTGGTACAGACCCTGGAAAAGAACGCATACTCCTAAAAATGACCTCTCAGCTGTGCACCTGCACAGAACCCTAATGAAGTTCAGGAAGGAAGGAAGGAAGGAAGAGCCTGGGGGCTGGAGAGATGACTCAGTGGTTAAGAGCATTGCCTACTCTTCCAAATTTTAATTCCCAGCAACCATATGGTGGCTCACAACCATCTGAAATGAGATCTGATGCCCTCTTCTGGCCTGCAGGCACACAGACAGAATATTGTATACATAATAAATAAATAAATATTTAAAAAGAAAGAAAGGGGCTGGAGAGATGGCTCAGCGGTTAAGAGCATTGCCTGCTCTTCCAAAGGTCCTGAGTTCAATTCCCAGCAACCACATGGTGGCTCACAACCATCTGTAATGAGGTTTGATGCCCTCTTCTGGCCTTCAGGCATACACACAGACAGAATATTGTATACATAATAAAATAAATAAATATATATTTAAAAAGAAAGAAAGAAAAAGGGCCTGAGAGAGGCTCAGTGGCTAGAGCACTGGCTACTCTGCAGAACTCCCAGGCTCAGCTCACAGCTCCCACAGTGTGACTCACAACTGTAACCCCAGTCCCAAAGAGTCCAACACCCTTCTCTGGCTTCTGTCGTGTGAATGTTGCACACACACGTGCAAGCAAAACACCTATATACATAAAAAATATTCTGTTAAGTAAGAAAAACCAACAAAAACAAAAACAAAACAGTGAGCGATAGTGACACAGCACTCAAGGAAGCAGAGGCAGGGGAATTTCTGTGAGTTTGAGGCCAGTTTGGTCTACAGAGCAAATTCCAGGACAGCCTGGGCTACACAGAGAAACTGTCTCAAAAAACCAAAAGAAAAAGAAAAGAAAAAAAAAAACCTGACAGTAGAGGGGGAAGTAGTTGAGAAGAGGAAAGGGATTCTAGTGGGCGTGGGAATGAGAAAAGAGTGCATAATAGAATGGCTCAGAGGTTAAGAGCACTGACTGCTCTTCCAGAGGTCCTGAGTTCAATTCCCAGCAACCACATGGCTGCTCACAACCATCTGTAATGAGATCTGGTGCCCTCTTCTGGTGGGCAGGTGTACATGCAGACAGAACACTGTATATAATACATAATATATCTTTAAAAATAGAATGAGTAATAGGGAGTCATTAATATCAAAAAAGACATTATATATGCTGGGCGGTGGTGGCACATTCAGGAAGCAGAGGCAGATGGATCTCTGTGAGTTTGAGTCCAGTCTGGTCTACAGAACTAGCTCCAGGAGAGCCAGGGGTATGCAGAGAAACTCTGTCTCGAAAAAACCAAAAAGAAAAAAAAAACCTTATATACAAACATGAAAATGCCATAATGAAACACACAATCATGTATTAACAATAAAAACTTTTAAAATGTCTTGTTTAGTTTTGTTTTATTGCTTTTTTTTTTTTTGCTTTTCCAGACAGGTTTCTCTATGTAGCCCTGACTGTCCTGGAACTTACTCTGTAGATCAGGGTGGCCTCGAACTCAGAGATATGCCTGCCTCTGCCTCTTTTATTTTATTCTTCATGTGTATGAATGGTTTGTTGTTGTTGTTTTCCTATGACAGAGTTTCTCTATGTAGCTCTGGTGTCCTGGAACTCCATCTGTAGACCAGGCTGGTTTTAAGCTCACAGAGATCCTCCTGCCTCTGCCTCCTGAGTGCTGGGATTAAAGGCATATGTCACCACTACCCAGCATATGTGTGTTTTGTATGTGTGTAAATCTGTGCACCACCTGTGTGCATGGTAACCTCAAAGTTCAGAGGAGGGCTGGAGAGTGTCAGATCCCCCAGAACTAGAGTTACAGATGGCTGGGAGCCAACATGTGGATGTTGGGGATTGAACCCAGGTCCTTTGACAGAATAGCCAGTACTCTTAACCACAGAGCCATTTGTCCAGTCCCTTAAAATAGTTAAAGACATAATTCTTGCCTTTAACTACATGTATTTAGTGTGTGTACACCTTTTGAGAGTCCATCCTCTCCATCTAGCATGTGAGTCCTAGATCTAACTCAGGTCGTCAGGCTTGGCAGCAAGCCCCTTTATCCACTGAGCCATCTTACTGGCCCTGCAGTAGATTTTCAAATAGCCAAAATGCAAATATATGATTGTTGCTTTGAGACAGAATCTCCCGGGTTTCCCAGGTTGGCCTTGAACTTACTAAGGAGCGTAGGCTGGCCTCAAGTTCACGGCAGTCTTCCTGCCTCATCCTCCCAAATGCTAAAGTACAGGTGTGAGCCGTCACATCCAGCTAGATACTCATTCGATACATCATACCTTTAGTATATGGAGAAGATGTGACCCAAAAAGGGGGAGGTGACTTCAGCAAAGGGTATTTTAGAGTTCACTGTATGAATCTTGCAACTTTTGTATTAGTTTGAAATCATTTCAATGATCAGAAACATTTTGGGGTTCAGGGGAAGAGAAGAACTGGCCCTCCAGTTGAGGCCCAATAGCTTTCCCTCCTGACTGCATGTCTTCCCTTTCCATCTTAAAAAACAAACAAAACAAAACAAAAACAGGGCCAGGCGGTAGTGGCACATGCCTTTAACCCCAGCACTCGGGAGGCAGAGGCAGGTGGATCTTTATGAGTTCGAGGCCAGCCTGGTCTATAGTGAGTTCCAGGTTGGACAGGGCCACATAGTAAGATCTTGTCTCAAAACAAAACTGATGCATGATTAATAAACACAAAGTGAGAGAAATCAGGATTCAACCTGCAGATCTGAAAAGCAAAGCAGCCAGCCATTGGCTGTTACCTTAACTTTAATCCAAAAATGGTGATCCTGCCTCCAGGAATCTAAAATTGAGACTATGTTTGAGAGCTGTCTCCTCCCGTCTTATAGGTATGCACTGCCTAGTTTCTATGGCAACTAGTGCGGCTACTGGGATTAAAGGTGTGCATTACCATTACCTGGTCTACAAGACTGACCAGTGAGGCTGTTTTATTCTCAGATCTTCAGGCAAGCTTTATTTCTTAAAATACAATTGAAATGCCACTACACAAAACAAAGCAAATCAAAACAAAGACATTCTATTCACATATGCTTAGGTCAGGGTAGGAATCTCGTCACAGAGGACTTGCTAGCATGTATGTCATGCTGTGTCATGCTGTGTGTCAAGAATGCTTGTTCGTGGGCATGCATGTGTGGGGTGCACGTGTGTGTACATGGATGTAGAGGTCAGTGGTCAATGTCAGGTGTCTTCCTTGGTCAGTATCAATTTCTTGATTTGATTTATTATTATTATTATTATTATTACATTTATGTTTGTGTCTACACACATGCCTGACATGGCACCCATGTGGAGGTCAGAGGATAACTTATAGGTGGCTGTTCTTCCTTCCACCATAAAGTTTTTGGGGATGGAGCTCAGGTCATCAGGCTTGGCAACAAGTGTCTTTACCCACTGAGTCATCTCACCAACCTTCCATCTTATTTTTTGGAGTCTCTCATTGACCCTGGAGCCCACTGATTGGCTAAGCTGGTTGCCCAAAGAGCTTCAGAGATTCACTGTCTCCTCTGGGGCTACAGAGGCCCACCACCAGGCTGGCTTTTTATATGAGTGCTGGGGATTTGAACTCAGGTTCTCCTGCTCGTGATGCGAGCACTTTGCCCGCTGAGTCACCTCTCCAGCCCCCAGAGGACTACCAACAATGAATTTCTTGCTGTTCTTGACAGGTAGTCCATGGGAAAGTAAAATTGTTGTGGAGACTGTGGGGGAGGGGGACTTAAAGCAGAGGGCAAAGTCAAGCTGCCAGATGGGTCACTGCAGACATCCTCAGGATGAGCTCTGACAGCCCCCTCCCGCTGGTGTGTTATCTGGAGAAATGAGAATTACGACTTTAGAACAGCAGCATCTCTGGGAACTCAAGTCCTGGGAGCCATGTCTCCAGGATCTTCATCTCCCAAAGTGTCCCTTCCCTCCCTCCTGGCAGCCCTCAGGCCGGAGGAAAGGGCTGGGCTCCAACAAATGCTCCTTCCTGCCCTCTGGAGACTCACTGGGGCTTTCCTCCTTCGTCTGCCAGATGTGGGTGTCCCTCCCGAGGCTGCTGCCAGCTGCAGTGACTCTCTCCTTCCCGCTGCCAGGGTGGGGACGTGGGTCAGACTACCTGGATTCAAAGCTGTGTGGCTCTGAGAAAATCGCCTGACCTTTCTGTGCCTCGCTTTCTATGGGACACAGCAGTTTTCCCAAGAAGATAGAGCTGTCACACAACTTAGTAAGTGCTCAGTAACGCTCCCCGTTGTACCACGCTCTCCAGCATGGAGGCGACGCCTGGGACTGAACCCAGGACCTAATGCATGTTGGGCAAGTGTTCTACCCTTGGGTTACAACCCATA